AGCTGTCATCCGTACGCAAGGAAGTAAGCACAAGATGCCGAACACCCTTAGCACGATGCAGCGCACCCTTCATGTGACTCGCCGAATACCTCACCGCGCTTCGCGCTTGGCGATGTGAGAGCCTGGTCCGGCGAGAACCCGACGTACTCCGTCCCGGCGTTGTAGGGATGCGAGGTCAATGGTCTAACGACTACGGCATGCACGACTATGAGTACACCCCCCCCCTCCCCCCCCCCATTCCCTCCGTTCGCGTGCGTCTTTCTGATGTAGGGCTCGACACTCGGTCTGTTGACGCGGCCTGCCTTGGGCACCTGGTCCCTATCTCCTTTGAGGGTAGTGCTCAAGCGAGAGAGGACTCTGGCTGTGCCTCGCTCTGACGATGATGGTCATGACGCTGGCGGTAGGAGGGGGAGGAGGACCGGCAGCAGCGGCAGCAGCAGCAGGAGGGGAACACAAAAGACAAGCAGCCGGCGAAGACAGGGCAGAAGCAGAAGCAGCAGCAGAAGCAGCGGTGACAGCGGCAGGAGGAGGAAGGGCAAGGGTAGCTCTCGAGCGGAGAAAGAGGAGGAAGAAGACGAAGGAGAAGAGACCGAACGCCATCACCGTCAGGTGCCGCTCGCGAGCACTACCGTAGCTCACAACCTGGCTAGCTTTTCCGGCCTGCGCCACCGGATTTTTTTTTTGCATGCTCCTTTCAGAAGGAAGTGTTTTGGGACCGATCCCTCTTCCTTCCCATATCACCCCCGATGTGTGCTCGTTTCGCCACCCACTCATCCCCACGCGCCAACGACCAGCTTCTGGTTCATGCTTGTGAAACGTACCGGCGAAAACCCGAGAGGCATATCTCTCCTCCCTCCCGGCATGCGAGGTTTTGGCTCTAACGGCTGCCGCATGCCTTGACATGAGCACGCCCCCCCCGCCGACCGACTGTGCTTGCTCCTCGCTGCACCAGTACACGCTCGCTCTCAGTGCGGTGGAGGGGGCCGGCTGGTCCGGGTCGTGGGTGTTTCGGGTCACTCTCGACGCCGAGACAGAAGAGGTGTGGTTCGAGACCAAGCTCTCACAGAGGAAGGGGGTTTTCGGGACGACTTCCGGCGGGGATCAGGCAAGCGATAATTTCCCTTCTTGAAGTTTTTGTCGTGACTGCATATGCAGTACACGCTGCCGTGGTTGATCTGTTACTTGAATATGTTTGTGTTGGTTCTTCTCTTCTCTTTGCTTCTGCACCGTCCTGTTGGACCGTAGCTCAGCCTCTACCCCACCGTTTGCTTGTCCTGACACTCCGGCGTGTTTTTTCCGTCAAGATTGGGCCTGGATCAGAAGACTACTAGCGCCCGCACACCGCTGGTGGCCGCACGTGCTGCAAGAGGCGTGTCTGGCTAGTGGCATTCCCCCCCCTCCCTCCTAATCTCCATGACCGATTCAAACTGCATACCCCTCGCCCTCTGATTGTGTCCTTCGCAGTTGGGGCGGGTGACTCGTGTGAACCAGGACATGCTTGCGAGGGCGAACAGGCACTCGGCCGTACTGAGGACACGAGAGGAGCAATTCACGAAGTGGGTGAACACTGCCTGTTTTTTTTTTTTTTTTTGCCACTGCCTCACCAATAGGACTTCCAGAAGAGAATAAAGCGGGGGGACTGTGGAAACACAATCGTGTTCATCCATTCCTTAACGAACTCATGTGATGTGTGAGTGTGTCATTTGCTGGTCAGGGCCCCCCGGCAACATTGAGCGGGTGTTTGTGGCGTGCACTTGAAGTTGGAGCTGCACGATGTCCCTGGTGGTTGTATTGCTCGAGTCATAGTGTTGTTGTTGTTGCTGTCAACGCCAGGAAGCACTCCGTGTTGGGACGGCCATCGCCTGATTCGGTTTGTTTGTGTTGTAGTCGGAGCAGCAGGCATCGGACATGAGCCTGGTTTACAAGTGCCACAAGGTAACCGAAAGCTCACTCGGTGTGACCGGTAGCATTGTGCTTGGTCGTTGCGGGTCGTGATTCGCGTGTAAGCCCGTAGCTTTTGTGTATCCAAACGGTCAGCACCAGCTCAAACAACGACAATAACAACGACACCAACTTCGAACAGGGTGTCTTCTCTTGCTCGGAGCCGCGCGAAGGACGCGAAGGATCTTGCCCGCGACCGGATCCTGCACCCGGACAAGTACAAACGAGTCCACCGCTACATGCGAGGTGATACCCGTGCACCAAACAACAGGGGGGGCTTGTGTCTGATGGAATTAGTCACCTTTGTGGAATCGCGTTACTGGGGTCTATTTACGATTCCGGTTCCTCCCAGGCCGCACAACAAGTAGCACCACCGCCATGTAAGGAATAAGGACCGTTCGCTTTCCTTTGATCTCAACTAACAAGTGTTCTCGTTCGGCCATTGGTCCAAGGGTGATGGCGGTCACAACAGAATGGACACGTCGCTGCCTACCCCTTTTCTGGCCACCCCTATCGCGCAAGACATGCGACACACCGCACCAAACTTTTCTCTTGTTTTTTACTCGTGACAGAACTTACTCGCATTCCGAGGCAACGTACTTTTTCACCTNTGGCAACGACGTTGTAAAACAAGCCACTTCACTTCGTGAACTCGGCAACCAGGTTACCGTTTCTTTATTTTACCTCTTTTTTTTTTGAGGAACCATGAATGGTGGTCGAGTAGATCATGTTGTGCGGGGTCTAGAACCCTCACTCCGCGCAAGGGGGATGATCGCACCACGTTGTGCTAAAATGGTCAAGCACCCTCGAGGCAGTTACACAGCAGTGCTTACAACTGTCTCAGGAAGTGAAAGCACCAGAGAATAAATTAAGTCATACGCAGCCGTCATCCGCACACAAGGAAGTAAGCACGAGATGCCGAAAACCCTTACCAGGATGCAGCGCGGCCTTCACGCGACTCGCCGAATACCTCACGGCTCTTCGCGCTTGGTGATGTGAGAGCCTGGTCCGGTGAGAACCCGGCGTGCTCCGTCCCGGCTTTGTAGGGATGCGAG